TTCCAGGACAGCCTCCAAAGCAATACAGAGAAACCTTGTCTCAAAAAAGAAAAAAAAGAATTGTAGAGGGGTAGAGGGGCTGGAGAGATGGCTCAGAGATTAAGAGCACTGGCTGCTCTTCCAGAGGCCCTGGTTCAGTTCCCAGTAACCCCTGGTGGCTCACAACCATCTGTATCGTGACCTCGTGTCCTCTTCTAGCTGGCATGCATACATGCCAACAGAACACTGTATACATAACAATAAATAAATCATAAAAAAGGAATTGCAGAGACAGGGACTCCTCCAGTGACGTGGACTTGTAGTTTCTCACAGCCTTCCATCTTCCTTTACTCTCAGCTCTCCACCATGACCACCCTTCTGCCATCTTGTCTCCTCTGCTCTCCACAAGTCCTCAGTTGCCTTCAGAGCTGCTGCTGAAGCTAGTCTTGTAATGACACCAGGGGCAGCACAGGATGCTCACCATACTGAAAGAGTGGCAGCCTTCATAGGTGTGTGTGCTGTCGGCACCAACCACAGCCCAGCCCTTCCTGTTCATAAAGGGCTTTACTCACAACATACAAACGAGGGACCACTTTGTCCCCAGTCATGGAGTCCCTCATACAAATGAGGAACCATTTTTGCACCAATCACTGGCCTTTTGCTGCTTTCCCTCTGGTCTGGATGAAAATGGCTGCTGTGAGGGTAAAAAGCTCTCACACAAGGGACTTCAAACAGTGGCCCTAGCCTTCAGGAGCCTGAGTGATTTGGCAGTGAGCAGCGGCAGTTGGCTTGGAGAATTCATCCGCAGAGAGTTCAAAGCAGTAGGTGCTGGCATAAACCGCAGTCAGGCTGGCTGCTTGGCCGACAGTCTTTGCCCAAGGCAGGCTCTTCAGAAAGACAAGGCAGGCACAGCATGAGACTGGCAGCCTGGTGTGTTGGCTAAGATTAGGTTCAAATGTGAGGGGAGAGCCCAATGTGTTTAAACAAGATAGCCGTTTATCTTGCTCATTCCAAAAGCCATTGGAAAGCTGAATTCCAAGGCCATGGCAGATACATGACTGTGTCAGGGATATCAGTCCCTCTATCTTGTTGCATGAGAGGCTTCTGGTCTCAAGTTAACCTGTGGTTCAAGATGGCTACTGTTACTACAGCCATTACAAGGACATCTCCATGAGCTGGAAAGAGCCCAGTTCCTCTGTTTCAGAGTGTAGCTTGCCCATTCCATCCCACTGGCCAACACTTGGCTGCTGGACCCCAGATCACTCTAGGGCGGCTAGAAAGCACAGGCTTCAATAGGCTTCAATTAGGGACAGTTGTGCATCCACCACCAACCCCCAAAAGAAACATCAGGGCTTCTGTTATAGTAGGGAAGAAAAATAAGACCATATCTGGGAGGATAACGTAGTCCCTGAAGAAGACTGATTAAAACTAATTTAACTGTGAATTCTAGCAACTGCTCATGCATAAATCCCCACAGACCAAATTATAAGGATTTGCAGTTGTACTGTTCATTGTGGCAACATCTAGTCTCTCCAGAGTGCTTGCTGGTCACGAGTGAGCACCCACACGTGGGCTCCCAAGAAGGAGGCCTTCTCCCATCTGCCTGGAAAGACCACCACAGCCCACTGTGATGGGGCGTGAGCAGCTGCGAGCTTTCACGGTACAAAGGTGAAATGGTAGCTTCCTGAAAACCGATGTAGACAGGCTAGCCCCGACACCCGATTCCAGATCACCCAGCCCCTGCCCTGTGTGTGGAGATAAACTCAGGGTCAGAAGGGGAAGGTCACCTCCTGTCAGACATCTCAACCTGCAAAAGTTTGCTTTGTTTTGATCTTCCTTGTGTGAATAGTGTCTGTATTTATTTTTTAAAAAATCTGGAGAGATGGCTCTGGGTTGGAGCACAGGCTACTTTTATAGAGGGCTGATGTCTTAGCCAAGCTTTCTATTGCTGTGATGGACACCATGACCAAAAGCAACTTGGAGAGGAAAGGGTTTATTTTTCTGATACTTCCATATCGAAGTCCATTATCCAAGGAAGTCAAGGCAGGAACTCAAACAGGTCAGGAACCTGGAGGCAGGAGGTTATGCAGATGCCATGGAGGAGTACAGCTGCTTACTGGCTTGTTCAACTTTTTTTTTTATCATTATTATTATTATTACACATACCATGTTCTGCCAGAAGAGGGCACCAGATTGAATTGTAGATGGTTGTGAGCCACCATGTGGTTGCTGGGAATTGAACTCAGGACCTCTGGAAGATCTTAACCTCTGAGCCATCTCTCCAGCCCCCCCCTTTTTAAATTTCAACCTTTTGTTGTTGTTGTTTATAGACCCTCAGCACCACCAGCTGAGGAGAATCTTCACTTACAATGAGCTGAACCCCCTCACATCAACCACAATTAAGAAAAATGCCCTACAGCAGTGATTCTCAACCTGTGGGTCACAACCCCCAAAGGGGTCAAATGACCCTTTCACAGGGGTTGCCTAAGACCATTGGAAAGCACAGATATTTGCACTGTAATTCACAACAGTAGAAAAATTACAGTTATAAAGTAGCAACAAAAGTAATTTTATGATTGGGAGTCACCACATGAGGAACTTTATTAAAGGGTTGCAGGTTAGAAAAGTTGAGAACACTGGTCTACAGGCTTGCCTGCCTACCATCTGATCTCATGGAGGCATTTTCTCAGGTGAGGCTCCTTCCTCTCAGATGACTTTAGCTTATGTCAAGTTGGCATAAAACTAGCCACCACAGCCCATGTTGGTGCACGCCTTTAACCTCCGTACTCAGGAGGCAGAGGTAGGTGGATCTCTGTGAGTTCGAGGCCAGCCTGGTCTACAGAGCGAGTTCCAGGACAGTCTCTAAAAAACAATACAGAGAAACCCTGTCTCGAAAAAACAAAACAAACAAACAAACAAAAAAACTAGGCACCACAACTGAGTTACCCATTTTGAATTTTTCATAAAGCCCTGTAACTCCTCAAGAAAGCCAGTAACAGAGAGGGAGGACTGATGACCAAAGGGATTAAGACTGGGCTGGTTTAACCCCCAGAAACAGCTGACCTGACAAAGGTTAACTCTTGAATCCCAGGCATCAGCCTGGGAATCCAGCATGGGACTGATCAAGACCCCCTGAATGTGAGTGTCAGTGAGGAGGCCTAGGTAATCTATTGAGCCTTGGGCAGCAGATCAGTACCCATCCCGAGTATACACACAGACTTTGGACTCCCATCCAACAATGTGAGGCGCACTCTCACCCTGAACTCTTGGGGAAGGGTCTAGGCCCTGCCCTATATGAAATGACAGACTATGGACACCCCCATGGAGGGCCTCACCCTCCCTGGGGAAATGAGGGGATAATGGGGGAGTTGGGGGGAGGGCACCGGAGGAGGGGAGGAAAAGGGAGAGGGACTTGGAACTGACTTGTGAAGCAACCTTGTTTCTTATCTAAATTTAAATTAAAAAAAAAAAAGCCCTGTAACTCCAGCTCCAAAGAATCCAACGCTCTCTTCTGGTCTCTATGAACACCCCCATTCCCCACCCCCACAGAATATACCCACACAGACATACACACATTCACATAAATAAAAATAAATCATTTTTAAGTTGGCATCTGCCTCAGCTCTGTAGTGGTTCCCTCTGTACTCTAACAGCTTGCTCAGTGACAGCTCTGACAAGCAAAGTTTGCTACTGTGAAATCAAAGCCTACTCCTCCCCACCACACTACACACACACACACACACACACTGGCAGAGATGTGAACCCACCCAGCTCTGGACTTGACTGCAGGATCCTCAATAGTTCCAACAGCTGCCATCATTTCATTAAGAGCAAGCTATCTGTACCTCAGACCAGGCTCCAATGTAAGTCATGGGACTCCATGTAAGCCACCAAGACTCCCAAGCCACAGGGCTCCCATGTAGACCACAGGGCTCCATGTAAGCCACCGGGCTCTCATGTAATCCATGGGGCTCCCATGTAAGTGACGGGACTCCCAAGTAAGCCACCAAGGCTCCCATATAAGCCACGGGGCACACTTCCAATTGTAGCACTTGGAAGAAGTTCCCAGAGATTCTGGCGGTGTGGTCTGTCCTCTCACCAGCAGGATTGAGGCTCACTGAGCATACCAGGTCATCTGCAATGCTCAGACCAGCATTGCCCTTCTGGGCCTGGGTCCCTAGAAATCTTACCACATGACAAGATGTTAGGGACTGTGCCCTTGCCACCCTCATGGCCTGAGGGCCAGAAACTGGGACAGGTAGGGACCCAGCTGAGCTGAGATCCACTCTAGGCTTGACAACGACCTTGGCAGACTCCTGCTCGGGGACAGTTGGAGGTCACCAATCACATTGATCCCTTTTTCCACACCAAGCCTTGTAGAACATCCTACAGATCCAGCACTTTTTTGTGTATTTTTTTTATGTGTATGGGTGCAAGGATGTCTGTGCAACACATGTGTGCCGGGTGCCTAAAGATGTCAGAAGAGGGCAGATGCTCAGGGATTGATGCCAGATGGTTTTGAGTCACCAGAGGTACTGGGAATCAAATCCAGACCCTCTGCGGGAGCAACCAGTGCTCTTAACTGCTGAGCATCATTCTAGCCCACTTCCAGCACTTTCTTCACCTGTTCCTCCCAGTCACCATGATACTCTCAGTCAGTATCAATCAACGCACTGTTCCAGAGACGAAGAATGAGTTTCCGTGGCAGATGACTGGTGGCACACAGGTCAGATGGGTCTCTCTGTCCTTGCTTTACAGATGACATAACTGCAGGGGGTGGCCTGAGATGACAGCTTAAGGAGCCGAGAGTGGTAGGGACCACAGGTTCCACCGTCTGTGCTGAACATGGCAGGGAGACCTCGGCTCCCCAGAACTCCCTCTCCAGGCTGGTCTCCTCACCTCCAACAAATGACAGTGGCTTGCCTCTCCCCTGCCCTGGCAGTCAGTTTTGGGGACATCCCCTGGTGGGGGCCTCCCTGCCACTTGTATGGCCCTGCTAGCGAAAGGCACCAGCCCACGTCTACTATTCTTTTTGCTTTTATTAAAAAATAGATCAAGAAAATATACACACTGAAGCCCTGTGGCTAAAGAGGCTGAGAGCTTTGGGGAAGGGACAGGGGACAGGCAGGCAGGACCCCAGCAGGAATGTAGTGCCGGGAAGGCAGGGGTCCCAAGCTGGAACACAGGTGGCAAAGGGGAACTGGGGGTAGAGAACAGGAAGAAGCCTGTGACCTTGGGTGCAGGGACAGAGTTCCTCAACTGCACTCTGCTCCACGCGGGAGCCCATGTGTCTTACAGGCCTCCCCGATGCCCAGGTGCCCTCAGGCATTGATGGCTTTCCAGCGCTCACTGTCTGTGCTGTTGATGCTGCCTGTGTGGCAGGGCATGGAGGCAATGTCATCTAAGTAAGCCATTCCAGCAGAGTCAAACTGTGTGCTGGAGTAGCTGGCTGCTGAGACCCCCGCAGGTCCTGCAGACTCTATGCCCTCGCGCCGAGCCACTGCGTAGGGTTGGGGCAGGTGCATGTCTGGCTCTTCAGCCTCATCCACTTGGCATTTGTAGGAGAAAAGGATCTTGGGCTCTGAGCTGGTGAGAGTGCAGAAGGTCACTGGAGTCAGGAGGAGCAGAGTCCGGACAGAACCATAGCTCATCCGTAAGAACCTGCAGGAACCCTTGAGCGCACTGAGATTTGCTTTGAAGCTGGTCCCACTCACACCTGAGAGATGGGACAAGTTTCTATACCTCCCCACCCACAGGGTATCAGCCTCGATGGGTGACAATAAACTAGCCTTCACCAAGTCTGGCCAAGTGTGACCCCCATGCCTGCAGTATGACTACCTGCTCATTAACCTGGTCATCAACTTCAGGGTAGGTAGAAGAGGCTCAATAGAACAGCAGCCTGTGCATATGGGAGCAAGCAGCAGCCTGATGTAGCCTCACCTTAGGCTCCCTAGACCTTCCCAGAGACGGTCCATGTCCACCACCCCAGCCCGGACAGGAGAGCAAACTCCTGCCTCACTCCTAGGTGGGCGACAGTCCCTGTCATTGTATCCGAGCCTCTGATGTTCCCCCCATGCACCTATGCACACAATACATCCTCCTTCCAACTGGGGCTCACTGTGAGTTCACTCACACCTGCTTTATTCTCCCGGTGTTTCTGAGGTAGAGCAGGGTCTGTAGTGCTTGCTGACAAAACAGGTAATAGAACAGCACCACTAAACTGCATCCCTATCTCTGGGAGGTGCAGCTGCCTGTGCCGGCTACACATCCGGGGAGAGAGCATCTGCACAGATGCACCAGTGTGCCTGCCACTCAGTGCCCTCTTGTACCCACCTCCCTGCCCATGCACACAGTAGCTGCAGGCTCAGCCACATTCGAGCCCAGAGGTCTGACCATCACTCACCCAAAGAAGCCACGGAGGAAGGCCACATAGATGAGCGGGGCGAAGAAGCTGAAGTATAGGAAGGTAGTGGCATCCACACAGCTGTGGTAGGGAGCAGGTCAGCACGGCCGGGGCTGTGGCCCTGCCCTGACCCAACGCCCTGCCCAAGACAGTGGGGACCCCTTCTGCCACAGTGGTAGCCACTCCACCCCGTACCTAACCCGCTCCCATGGTGGGCACCCTCTTACCAGAGGCCCTCAATGATGTTGGCGCACAGCAGAGCACTCCCCAACCCCTGCAGCAAGTTGAGTGTGGCCAGGATGCCTGCATACACGTAGAAACTCCTCCGTGCTGGGGGGCAAGGGTCATGAGCTTCTGAACCACCCTACACTTAGGGCCCAGGTATGAACCTTGGGGTTCTTCCCCCACCAGGGACCCCCAGCTGCAGGCCGGGAGAAGGCCAGTGTCCTCATGACCCTACTCCAGCAGGTACTCACAGGGCAGGGATACACGCTCCTTCAGTGGGGTCTTGGGGAGAATTACCACCAGTGAGTAGACCTGCAGAGACAGGGGTGACAGGGAGGCCGGGCCAGGCCAGGCTACTTCACCTGCCCCCAGGGAGCACGCTAGACCTCACCAGGAAGAAGAAGCAAGAGCTGACCAGCCAGAACTGGCGGCCACCATGTCCATAGATGTTGAAATCCTCAGCTGAAAGATGGGAGTCGGGGTACAGGATCTCCAGGGTCCCCTGTAGTAGATAAGAAGGTCAAGCCTGCCACTGAAGCCTCTCTTGGCTTTCCCTTGCAGAGCCCAGGGCACTCCAGCGTGCCAAGTCCTGCTCCAGCCATGCTCACCCACATAACTCCAGGTGCAGTTCACCCTGGCAGAGTCCCTTGTGGACAGAGCCTTCAAGGTGCAGCCTACCCAGCCTAAAAAAGGCCCACAGCACATTCTCTCAGGCTGCCAGCTCTCACACGTCTTAGCCTTTCCTAGGCTCACGATGGTCTGTGTCCAAGGGAAGTTGGCCCTGCCTAGTCCATGTGACTCCTTGGGAACACTTACAGTTTAGAAACATGACCCTTGACACCACCACCGCCACCACATACCTGGGTGACCGAGTAGGCCAGAGACAGTACTGTGGTGATAGCCAGCACCCGCTTGATGCTGGACTTGCTCTCTAGGTGACCTGTAAGGCACAAGGGTGAGTCAGTCTCTCCTCCTAAGAGCCATCTCTAGACAATTGCAGGAAGGAAGGGTAGGGAGAGCAGGCCCAGGTTAGAAGACAACCCTGCAGCATACATACCAAAGGCAAGGCCCAGGATGATCACACTCAGCTCAATGGCTAGCAGGAAGAAGCGGGTGATCTCCCACAGGATCTGAGCAGAGAGGCACAGGGTCAGCTGGGGGAAGGCTCCACACAGCCAGACATCCCTGAGTCTCTCCAGCAGAACCAGGGTACAGAGAATACATCATAGCCTCCACCAGGCTGGCCTCCACCCTCTACCCCGCACCTTGTCAGCAACTGTCGCAGCATCAGAGGCACTGACTGTCATAGAAACCACAGCCCTGGCAATGCCTACCAGAGCTACCACAAACACCTGCAGGGCAAGAGAAGAAGAGAGCGTGGTGTCGGAACCCACAAGGCTTCACTTCTGCAGCATCCACTCGAGATGGGGAGGCTTCAGCTAGACAAGGGATGGGACACGGTGGGTCAGTGAGACATACAAAGGCATGTTTTAGCACAGGGCTCAGGCACGGAAAACTCCACTGCTGCCCATCCCAAACCCTTCCAGTTCCCTGTGGTTAGAGAACCAGGCAGCTGGGGCTCAGACCTAGCCCTACTGCTCTCCTGCTGTGACCTTAGGCGAGTGACAGCCATGTCTCCTTGAGTGCTCACCACTCATCTTTAGTGGGAATCTCAGAGTCTAACCACAGAGGGACCAGGGAGCCACTCAGCTCTCAGATGACATCTCAGAGTCTCCATATGGTGTATTCCAGGCAATCAGGCTCCTCTCCATATGGAGAAAAGAACCCCACACCCTGGAGTGGGAGATACACCCAGGGAGGTCACCCTTAGACCCTCTGCCTCATGTACAACCTTGGTCCATATCCCCAAAGCAGCATACACAGGGCCCACCAAGGGCTGAGACTAGAGGCTGTCTCCTCAGGTAAGCCTGCTGCAAAGACAGTGTGTAAGTGGAAGAATGGAAGGCTGTGTGGGGCTGCTGTGGACACTTTTCCTCACCCAGCATTCATTCTATCCCGCTAGTAACAGTTTGCCATTTTCCCATAGGGATCACTTGCCTCCCTCAGTCAGCATGGTCTGCTGGCCTGACTCAACCTTTCCCTTTCTGTGCTAGCCTATTATTGGCTCAGGTATGAACGTGGGATCCTAGTGGACCAATCCAAGGACAGGCTAGCAGCCTGGAAAGAGGGACTCCCTAGTGCAGCTGGAAAAGCCAGGTGAGTTCCCAGCTGTCCTTGGCATCATCTCTGTGGGGAGAACCAACTGCTGTAGAGAGAACGAGGTACAGCTCCTGGATCCAGCCATGTCTGAAGCCATTTCCATTATGGAAGCAATCCATTCATTTCCCTTTGGTGCTTAAATCAGAGACAGGCTTTCTGTCACTGATTAGGGGAAACTCACCAAGATGTAGAAGGTGATAAAAATGGGGCTGGAGGTGACACGGATCTTGGCCCGAGCTAAAGGAAGCTTCCAGAGCAGGAAGATGAAGAAGAGCACATTGGGAATCAGCAGCAGGAGGTCCCAGTACCGGACCCTGGCAGGGGCACAGAAGCTGGCTCACTGATGAGGTAGGTACACAGTTCCCCCAGGCCATAACAGCCCCTGATAGCGCACCCACAGCCTGCCCTCAGTAGGGCCAGGAACCTACCTGGAGGAGCCGATATCCTCATAGAGCAGTAGCAGGCATTGGTGGGGCTCACTGATATTGGATGCTGCAGGCGGTGGCCACGCTGTGCTTCCATTGGCCTCCTGCAGGCTGGCCATTCCACCGGCAGTGGCCCTGAAAACAAGCCCATGTAGTTAGGGCACAGGGCCCTGGCCCTCCTCTCTCAGACTAAGGCTTCCAGGGAAAACCAAAGTGGCAGTGCCACCTACAGGCCACATTTGGGACTCGCTGACAGGAGACTAGAAGGCTGAGGGGGCCTCTTGCTCTGGACAGAACCTGGAGCCTCCTCCCAGTTTTACCCAGATAGTCCCTCCAGGTTCCAGAGATGAAGGAGCTCAGAGCATGGCCTCCTCCTGCTCTTGCTGCTTGGCCTCCTGGTGCTTCGGTGTCCTCTCTGGAGTGACACTGAGAATAGTATTCTCTTGGTGAGGCCACGCAATGCAGACTGCCTCCAGCAGGACTGTATTGGGAAGGCTGAATGACGTGACTGCAGCTCCACCTTGCAAAACCCACCCACCATCTGATCTCTGAGGCAATGCGGCCACTAAGGTCCTCAGGGGAACCTCTCTGCTGCACTGGAAAGGGAGATGCAGTTGGAGAGGACCCCTGGACGCATAAGGAGGTCTCTAGGATAAGGCCTGGAACAGTGGTACAAAGAAGGCCGAGGCAGTCATTTGAGGCCAGGCTACAAGGAGAAGCTGGAGGCCAGAAGAGCCCAGAGGCCAGTGTCTTTGTGGCCACCTGGTAGGAAAGTCTGGCATTCGGCCTGGAGGACCAGAGAGCTAAAGGGCCTGGGGTCCCTAGAATGCCTTGGAAGAAAGGGACTAATGGTGGCCAGAAAACCCTAAATAAGGAATCTTGGTGAGAAGATTCTCTGGGGATGGCAGTAGGGCTTCCTGCAGGACAAGCTGAGCCCCAGGACTCATGGGTGGCAGTATTAGGTCAGTGATCTGAAGAAAATTTCCTCTTTCCAAAACAGTCAGCAGTCAGGCAGGAGGTGTGCACAGGTGAAGCAGTGTCAGCCTTTGACCACAAGATGGCAGTAAGAGAAATGAGCATGAACTGCTGGCAAATGAATGGGCCTCCCAAATGAGATGTGGGTGGATCCAGACTCAATAGCGCCACGCCTAACCAACGCCGAAACATAGCTGGGATTGACTTCGTAGACTGGGGTGGCACACTAGCCCCAGGCACTCCACCTAGGCGTGGGTGCACAAGCGTGTACACTACCAGAAAAGCTTTGGAAAGCTTTTCACAGAAAGACTGTGTCCTGGTGACCGATCTGTGGCAGGAGTGGCCAAGAGCTTGGCACGCCTGTGGGTTCACTAATAGGGGCAGGGCTTGGGGAACTCGGGTGTATTCTCATTTTCAGGGCCTTTACACTCCAGTGCTACTTCTGTTGAAGGGACAGGAAACCCCTGTGCCCAGGTCCCCCACTCTTCTCTGCAACAGGCCAGCCCCTGGCTCTCTGATTTGGTACACCCCCAGCTTGCAGATGGGGAAACTAAGGAGGTAAGTGGAGACCCCCAAAAGAAGCTGGCTTCTTCCTGACCGTGACAAAGGTGAACGGAGCCGCCATCCTTTCTCTTGGGCCCTGCCACTTGCCCAGATCTGACCAGGCATGCATCTGGTATGCCTAGCGACTCACTGGGTTGCTCAGACATGACAGGGACACTACCCTCTTGAGGTCTTCCTCCCAGGGACGGGAGGAGAGCAGGCACAGACGCTTGTCCTTAAAAAGCAAACGTCTGCTGGAGACAAGCGTTGAGAAGACAGCAGAGCGGGACACAATGACAACAACGCAGCACAGACAGGGCAGTCCCCGGTGTCCACACGTCTTACCAGCAGAGCCCTGGATTTCAGGCTGCTCTCCCCAGCTTCCCTTGCAGGAGGGACTGGCCACGTGGACACCAGCAGAGTGTGACTCGCCAGTTTCAGGTCGTGCCCTTCTTCCTTCCTGTTGGCTGGAATATGGATGTGAGGGTGGGAGCACCAGCAGCCATGTTAGACATTAGAAGCGTGTATTGAAGTCAAAAGCTAGCAAGGAAGATATTCCATGGGTCCCTCCACGCACGCCCTAGGCTGCTTCCACAGGCTGACAAACAAGTAGAATGGCCCTCTACCCAGTTATCATGGGCTTGCTTCATAGCTAAGGCTGAATCCCAGAGCACATAACAAAGTTGATTTAGGTCAGTCAATATGATATGCAACTGAGTAGTCAGTCTTGGAAAACTCTGGAAAAAGAGCAATCCTTGGAGAGAACAGCAAATACAAAAGCCCTGCGGTAAAACTGGACTTGGTCTAGGATGAAAAGGAATAGGCCGGGCAGCTGGGAAGATGGGCACAGTTGGCAGAGCTGGATCAGATGGAGTAGCACACCTACAAGCAATGTAATTTCACTCCCTGAGGACTGGAAAGGGCAGAGCGCGGAGAGCCAGCAAGAGGGCCCCACTTTCCTGAGGGTGCTCAGCACCCCTGCTCTGTCCAGGGGTTTAGATGTGGTGACCTCTACACAGCACAAACGTCAGGAAATGTAAGTGTATCCAAGCCTGGCCAACCAGAAAGTCTCACGCTGGCCAGTGAGATCTACCCTGCTGAGATCAGCAGGCCAATTGTGACTCTGCGCTGGAGCTCTGGAGAGAAAGCTAACAAAGGGGAGAGCCACAGGTAGATAGAGAGAGAACCTTTGAACTCCTAGGAACGCCTGTATTCAGTTACACACGACACCCATCCTTCCCAGCCATAAGACGCCCAAATCCCCTTCACTTCCAGGGTGTTTGAGGTTGACCGATCAATTTCCCAGACATATCAGATGTTTGTTTCTGTATTTTGCAATGCTGGAGACTGGACCTATGTTAGGCAAGCACTGGACCACTGACCTACATCCCTAACCCTCCTTTTGAGACAGGGTCTCCCTACATTGCCCAGCCTTGAACCTGTGATTGTTCCTGCCTCAGCCTAATAGCAAGGGTGACAACAGGCCTGTGTCCCCAGGCCTGGTTCCCAACTCCTGTAGGTTATGGAATTGGCAAGCCAAGCTAGGATGGCATTCCTGGTCCTGCCTCTTGCTTGCTATGTGACCTTGGATGAGTCACTTCCCTCCTGAGTGTCACAGGATAATCATAGCTAGTTAGCAGGGTGGCTGTGATAGTCAAAATAAGGCAAGCTATGAAAACGTCTACGGAAGCCACACAGGCAATAGATGACTCTCCTACAGGTTGAAGGAAGGAGTGCTGGGCGAGGGTGTGGGGTCTGCCCATGGACCTAGGTGCCTTTAGAAGGTCTAACGACTATGCGGGAAGGAGACCAGAGAACTGGGACTACAGAACTGGTAACCCAGCCCCGGGAGTCACAGTGCTCAGAGGTGTGGCCACCTGCTGCCCATAGTCCAGCTATCCCCTCCAGAGCCTGGCACCCTGGCAAGTTCTATACCTAGTAGTACCTCAAGATATGCGTCTCTACCTGAACAAGTGGACACTGCTGAGCAGGCAGAGCCCCATCATCTGCCAGACCAAACTCCCAACCCAGAATTTTCCTGCTCCAGCCGTACTGGGGCTAGGAAGCAGTCAACAACACTGCACTGCCGTGATGCTTGTGCTCCTGAAACAAGTGAAGAGATGATAACAAACACGCTAGGACACGCTTCCAGTGCAGACCCGCGCCCTGCGCTTCCCTCCTAAGAACACTGGATATGCACCATCAGAGTCCCCATAAAGGAAGGAAGGGCAGGTGTGGCCAGGGGACCCAAAGGCCCCACCCCCTACCCTAGGACCCAGGGCTTCTCCTTCCCCAGACCTCCTGGCCTTGGGCACACTCCACAGAGAAGTGAAAAGAGCTAGCCCACCAGGAAAAAGAGGAAGGAGAAAGAGCTGACTGAGTCGTCTTGAAAGAGCAACAGAGGACCCAGGGGAAGCCAGCAGGGAACTGAAGTCAGGTTTCTCCCACCTGTGAACCTGCAAGGGCAGCTCTGACCTCAGAGCATCCCCCAGAGGCCAGGCTCCTGCCCCCGGCTCAGACCTTACCTTCCTCCCACTCTCCGTGGCTAGACTGCTGGGCCTTAGACACCCCCTCAGCACACACACCAAGGGCCTTCTCTTCCTGACTGGGCAGAGGCTAAGAGAGCCTGTCTCTCCCATCTGTGCAATGGGATTGCCCAATCTTCTGACATCTTGTATGGGGCCCCTACCCAGTGGGAGGGAGGTCGTGCAAGCAGCCCCAAACACTAGATTCTCTCCCTTACCTCCCGGGTTGCAGGGCCTCTAAATCTAGCAGCAAAGCAGCATGGGAAATCTCCAGAGGATAGAGGCTAAGTTCAAGGCTTCTCTCTGAACCTGTCAGCCTTGGTGACAGAGAAGAGACTCTGTCCTAAGGGGCCAATGTGACCACCAGGAAGAAGGGACAGTCCAGGGAGCCTGGCCCCTGCCAATCCTCGCCCTTTTCTACCCACCAACTTCCATCTCACCTACCTCGGGGGCCTTTGCGCTTCTTCCCCCGTTTCATCTCCTTACTTGACCCTGGGGTCACCTCCCCCTCCAGGTGGACTTTAGCATCTCTAGCCCACCTGGGTGTTCTTTCTTTTTTTTTTTTTTTCTGGGTGTTCTTTCGATGTGTGTTTTGTTGTTTTTTAAAGACAGGGTCTCATGGGGCCCAGGCTAGCCCCCAACTCAGCATGTAGCCAAGGCAGGCCTTGAACTTCTGATCTTCCTGCCCCCAACTCCCAATTCCTCCACCACCACCGAGCTCTTCGGTGTGCTGTTTATAGTACTAGGCCTCCATTGGCAGCAGGTGTTTTTACATGCTTTCCGTCTGTCTGTCCGAGGCCTGGTGACCCAACCCCCTAGAACAGGGCCCGCACAGAGTTAAGAGCTCAACAAAATGCTATGACGCGCACAAATTTCCAGCCCAAAGCAACCGGACTGGACAAGGATTGAGGGTCAGTGTCCCATATCCCACAGCCCCTCCTCCTTACGGAGCTAAGAGCAGTCGCCCCTTCCTTCCGCAAGGCCAGGGAGGCAGAGGCAGAGCCCGGGCTCTCCTTTCCGACTACCGCTGAGCTTGGGCTGCACCCGGAGCTGCCCGTGTCCAGCTCCATACAGGGTCCGGTCCTGACCGCTAGGGTTCCCAGAAACTTCCCAAAGGTGTCCTGCGGCTGCACCCCTAGTGGCACAGGGACAGGAGGGGACAGTAGGCCCGAGCCCGAGGAAGGAGCGGGGCTGGGCCACCCCATTAGCTTAGCGCAGCAGGAGATGAAGACCCCGCAGCGTTTACCTGAGCCGGGCCGCGCAGGCCGCGGGACTCCGACCCCCGGAAGGCTGCGAGACTCGGGGAGCGTCGCGCAAGAGCCGCGGCTGAGGTTCTCCTCGGGTCGGTCGCGGGAGGCCGGACGCCGCCAGTGCGCAGTACCCGCAGAGCCCACAGGACCCGAAGACTCCCGTGGCCCTCCCGGGCAGCAGCGACTGGCCGGCGCCCTGGCTGGTGTTTTTCGTCTAGGCAAAGCGGCGAAAACAGTCACGACCCCTGTTTGTGGAACTCAGTCCCGCCCCCGGCGTCCAGCAGCCAATCGTAACGGACTCCCTCCAGAGTGGAACTGGCCAATAAAATTCCTCAGAGGGGGAGGCGGACCGCGGAGCTCTTAAAGGGACTGCAGTAAACCTGCAGTTGCAGCGAAGTGTGAGTGACAGAAACTTCTACCGGGAGAAGAATCTCTGCCCTGCTCACTCCTAACGCGTTTCGGGACAGCCCACCGAGCATGCTCTGGCTTTGCCATGCATCTTCCTGCGGTCGGCTCTGGTCCTCCGATCGGTTCGCCCCACCTCTCCGAAGGTGGAGCCTTGGGGACCGGCGCCCCGCAAAAGTGACCTCTGGTCACCTGGACCAGAGCGGAGGGAAGAGGGGGCGGATCTTCCTCGGACGCCGTGTGCTTGCCCACTTCAAAGGGACCTGGCGTTTACAGGGCCCCAGGCCCCCTGTCCCAGTTATCCTGAAGGCTGGGTGCTATTAGTCGCGTTTTCCCGAGGGCACCTGACGTTTCTTGAAGGGGTTAGGAATGTGTCCAAAGCCATCGGCCAAAGGAGTGGACATACCAGGTCTCACGCATAAGCAGGTGCCTTCCAGAGGGACGCCCTTCCCCGGGCGCCTCCCCCGGGCGCCTCTGAGGTGTGCGACACCTTCAGGGCAATGTGGAGGCCTGGCCTTATTTCAGGCCACCTCCTGACATCTTGCACAACTTGGGCCAGCCATCTGAGCTTTCCTGTAGACATTCAAACTTGTGCCCCGCCTACCCCGCCGGGCCTCTGCGTCTCCTCACATCCTGTCTTCACGGAGAGCTTCCTGATCTCTCCCTCAAGAGATGCTATTGATAGGCCTGCCCCTTCTCAGGCATCCGGTGGCCCAGGACCCAGCCCATAGTGTGTCCCAGCAGCACCCTGAGGGGTGAGTCAGTGCTGGCGAAAGGTGTAGGCACCTGTTTATTATAGGATCCCAGGATCACCCAGGTCAGCACAGTGGAACTGGAATGAGGACAAGGATTGAGGGTCGGTGTCCCATATCCCACAGCCCCTCCCCCTTAGAGCAGTTGCCCCTTCCTTCCGCAAGGCCAGGGCGGCAGAGGCTCCTCCCTGAGACTTCCAGATGAGGTCCACTTGTCAATTTTGGTTTTAGCTGGAGAATCTGGCTATAGGTCAGCAGTTGTCACAGTCATAGTGAACGGAGAAAAATCACAAGAGTTCTCAACTTCTTACCAAGACAATACAGTACCCTGCTTAGAAATAATGGCAAAAATGTGTCCTAGGCCCTCCTTGGCCTCCAGGAGTCAGGACACCACTGTCCTATACTTACAAGGAGAAAGGCCACAAGGTTTGAACTCAGGGCTTCTGCAAGGGCAGAGCGTGCTCTTAACTGATGAGCCTTTTCTCCCATGCCCGTTGCTCCCCGCCCCCATCAGTCACATTAGGCAAATAGGGAGCCAGCGGTAGGATTGCATGCCTGTAATCCCAGCGCTCCAGAGGCTGAGACAGGAAAATCACCTCACATTTGAGGCCAACCAGGGCTACATAACAAGACAGTGTCTCAGAAAAACAAAACAATATGCTATTCTGCATTCCTACTCTGGAATTTTGGGCTTCCTGTGTCTAGGAGATTTTATGGCCTTTGTGGAGTAGCCGAGGTCATCAAGGACCTCTTCTCCTCTGGCAGCAGAGGCAGTAGTTCCTCCGTTGGGGTGTCCCCAGCACACAGAATAGTGTGGTGTCCAGGAAGACACAGGACTGGTGATCTATCAGGTAGTATTCCTGACTTGCACCAGTGCAGGATGGGAACAGCTGTGCCAGTCTTCAGAACCTAAAGCATGTTGGGGCACTGGGACCCTCCCTATGTCTATTCCATTCATTGTTCTGGTCTGGAAAATTACAAACCATGCCTCTCTCCATCCCCATTACAGGAAGGGGATAACCTACCTTCTGGGTCCTTCCAGGCCTGTGGTGACTCCATCAGGCCTGGCAGAACGTAACTCTGGTTTATCTTGTCCATGACACCCTGCTAGTAGGAATGGGTGAGCATAGAGTGGCAGGCCAGTGGTGACTGGTGAGATTCTGTGAAGGGAGGAGGTAAGTGCGTGAAGAACTGAGTGCTTGTCTTCATTGGAGCTCATACGGGTATAGTAGGCTAGGGCAGACTCGGTCATCTTTTCAAAAAACATTCTAGGGAGGAGGGGAGGGAGAGGGAACGGGGATTGACATGTAAAACAAGCTATTTAAAATTAAAATAAAAAATGATTTAAAAAACATTCTGTTATGGTGACAGAATGGGCCCTTGGCTTTTTTGGAGTCTCTTTCATCTAGAAGCATTCACTGGCGTGAATGTTGCTGTCATCTGCATGGCTCCAGGTGGCACAGTGGTTTCCAGCTTTGGGGGAGGCCACCAGCAGGAGAAGGGCTGTGGGTTCCTGTCTCAGAGGCCACTAACCCATCTCCCCAATGCCCATCCTTTAGCACCTAGGGGTATCTCTTGTACCATGAGACCTGAAGATCCCACCTTCTGTGGTTCCTTCCATGCTTCCCCTGCCTGCTCCACTCTAGGTCCTGTTCAGAGTTATTCGTGCCCAAGGCACCAAGAACTATTCAGGCTGTACTACATAGAGCAGAAATCCCATCCTGGTGAGATCCAGCTGTCTAGGACCGCAGGAACAGCAGCCGTCCCTCACTGGAAGCATACAGCCTATCTTAACCCACCTCAACAGGTGGTAGCTACTGCTTCACACAACACCTGCCCCTCAGAATGACCTCATGTCAAAGCAGAGCTCCAGCTTTAGACAGACGGGAGATCTGTGATCTGGGCTCTCCCACCCCATCACAAGTTGTGAACCAAGGGTCACTATCCCCTCCAGCCTGCACTCCACGGCTTCACACTACACCCTCCCACCTGGAACACCCTCCCTGCGTCTTTGCTCTTTGATAAAAGCCCACAGCAGCTTGAGCGCATGAAGGATTGAACTCCAGAGCTTTGTAAGAAGTTAATATCAAATCAGGAAGAAATCAGAAAACAGTCTCAGTTACATCAAGTGGCCATACTGACACCAAGGTCTCATGGCTAGGAGGCCGGATCGGTCCTTAGAGCCACCAGCGACCCAAAGTTCAGCTCCATCACTTAATGGTGACAAACCCTTTAAGCCGAAGTGTACAAGCCGCCTGGGTGCAGCCTTTTGAAAGCGGTGGGCCGGTCTCCAGGGAATAGGGCGGGACCTCACTTAATGTAGGCGTGACCAAACGTTCTAGCCCTCCTCCCGTCCTAGATTGACGCGGACGTCGTGACGTCTGGCTCCTTTCGGAGCTTCCCGGGCAAGAGCGGATCACGTGATCCAGTTTTCGCGCGAAAACCGGTGGCTGCTGGTCCGGTGGAGCGAGCGCAGAAATGGCGGTGAGGAGCGGACTGGTCGCGGGCGGGCGGTGTTCAGGGGCCTCGGCCTGCTTTGCCGGGTCTCTTCCTCCAGTGGCAGGCCTGAGCGCGGGGCTACCTGCTCTAGCCCGGGACGGGTCGTCTCTGCGCCCCTTACGTGTCCCTAGGCCTCCGGTCTCCATGCACTTTGGGTGGTGAGGGTGCAGGGAGTGGAACTCAGAACCTCCCGCGTGTAGGGAAAGCGCGCTACCATGTAGCTCCATGCACCCGGATCCACATGTCTTGAAATAGGGTTTCACAGTCGGGCGGTGGTGGCGCACGCCTTTAATCCCAGCTTTCGGGAGGCAAAGGCAAGCGTATCTTTTGAGTTTCGAGGCCAGCTTGATCTACAGTGCAAGTTCCAGGACAGCCAAGACACAGAGAAACCCTGTCTCGAAAAAATAAAACAAGAAAGAAAGAGAGAGAAAGGATCTCACTAGATCACCTAGGCTGATCTTGAACTCAGCCTGTAGTGCAGATTAACCTTGAGCTTGGCATCATCAGGCTGACTCCTGGGTATTCGGGATCACATACTTGTGACATCAGACATGGCTTCCCTGCTCTTAGTGTTAGGGGCTCACGACTCTGGCTTGTTAAAGAGTAAAGGTCTGTTCTTTCCTTCAGTTGGTGTTCCTTGATGCCTCTTAATCCTTAATCCTTGTCCCAGCACCCAGCATATTGTTGGGGTTCCAGTAGATTATAAACGACTTAAAAAAAAAGCTACATAGCCCCTTTGGGTTTTTTTATAAGAGGTGAGTGACCCAGTATGTGAGGAGATGGCCCTTGAATTGGTTCAGATCGATGCAGGCAGAGGGCCGCCCAGCAAGTGGAAAGGACTCAAGGCTGAAAGGCTTCCATGTCCTTGAGAACAGTGTCTGGTGCACAGGAGACAGCCAGCCAAGGGGGAAGACCCCATGGTAACCAGGTGGGTGTCAGCCTGTGTCCCTGCGGTGTCTGATGGCAACCTTTCTTGCAGGAGTCTTCTGAGTCCTTCTCGGCTGCATCTAGCCCTGCCCGGCGGCGGCGGGTCAGTGACCCCCTCACCTCCAGCCCTGGCCGCAGCTCCAGACGTGCGGACGCCCTCACCTCCAGCCCTGGCAGAGACCTCCCCCCATTTGAGGATGAGTCTGAGGGGCTGCTGGGCACTGAGGGCCCCGTTGAGGAAGAAGAGGATGGCGAGGAGCTCATTGGTGATGGCATGGAGAGGTACTTTCGGTCTCTGTTGTTGCTAGCTGGTGGTTTAGCAGAAGGACCCTCGTGTGTGGTGACCTGGCCTTGGGGACACATGAGTGTATACACTTGGCGACTTTGAATGTGTCATGGTTCAGGTTGGGGAGAGACAGGTTCACCAACCACTGTGAAGATCCATTTAGCTAACTATGTAGAGCTCAGACTAGACCCTAAGGCCCAGGCAAGCCCCAGCTCAGGGGAAGGGAGGGACCCATAGAGTCTGATCTCAAGAGGCATGCCAACTCAGAAAGATGGGAAGTGGACTGCAAGTGTTTCTCTCTGACTTTCCCAACACACTGCGTGGTGCGTCTGAAAATGAAGGTGTAGCGGCAGTCAGACCCTGACCCAGCATGCGTCAGGCTCTGGGTCAGGGTTCAGGTTTATATACAGACTTACTGAAGGTGGAGGCTGGCTGCTAGGAAGCTCTGCCAGTCAGTACAGTCAGATCCCTACTTCACAGCTGGGATCAGGTACCAATTATATGGCACCTAGGAGCCTTGTGGCACGCTCCTTTTGTGCCTGGGGGATATCTGTGGGGTGGGAGCCATCAGAGAGACTGTCAGGGGTCTTCTGCCTCATTCAGCTCTTTGCTTTAAGCAAAGACTAGGTATGTGGTGTATGTCCAGCTATGAGAGGAATTGATCCAGATCATCCTGGGCTCAGGGTCAGGGCTTCTCCCCGGAGTTCTCTCCCTGTCTGTCTTCACTCTCGTGTTCAAACCTCTTTAAAGTGAGAAGACCTTGGGGAGGGTCCTAAAGATGTCTGAAGACTATCTGATGTAGTGACAGTTCGCAAAGAAAGAAGCTAATTTCTGTATTATAAGCCTTATCCTTGTACAGCGCAAGTGCTGGGATGTTTAGTGCATGCTTTCTGAGCCGGTTCCCGGTGCCCCGCTGAGGTCCCTCCTGCCTGTGGATCCCAGTTCCCAGCGCCATCGCCGCCACCTGGCTCACTCCTCTTCCTCTCCATAGCTCTTCAGTTTGGCCTGAACTGGGGTTGTATGATACTTGTCCTTTTATGCCGGTGTTTCACTCAGCACAGTGCTTTCAAAGTTCAGTCCTTTCTGAAAAATGTACGGGTGAAGTTTTACCTACGGTAGATCTGTGTACCACATGCACAGAGGCCAGAAACTGTAGTTAATACATGTAATACATGGCTGTGAGCTGCCGTGTAGGTTCCCTGAATCCAGGTCCTTTGCAAGAGCAGCCAGTACTCTTTACCACTGAGCCATTTCCAGCCCCTCAACTTTCTGTTTGTTTTTCTCTGTGTAACAGCCCTAGCTGTATACTTTGTAAACCAGGCTGGCCTTGAACCCAGAGATTTACCTGCCTCTGCCTCCCAGAGATTAAAGGTGTGCACCACCACACCCAGCTACTTGTTGTTTTAGTATTGTCTTTTTTTTTTTTTTTTTTGATTTTTTTGATTTTTTGAGACAGGGTTTCTCTGTATTGTTTTGGAGGCTGTCCTGGCACTCACTCTGGAGACCAGGCTGGCCTCGAACCCACAGAGATCCGCCTGCCTCTGCCTTCCAAGTGCTGGGATTAAAGGCTTGTGCCACCAACTCCTGGCTAGTATTGTCTTTTAAAACTATTTCACTACATTGTTCATTGTGTGTGTGTGTGTGTGTGTGTGTGTTGCCACACATGCCATGGCACGCATGTGGAGGTCAAGAGACAACTTGCTGATCTTTCTCCTTCCTCTGTTAGGTCTCAGGGACTGAACTCACATTGGAGTTTGGAGATAAGTCTTTAGCCATTGAGCTGTCTCATTAGTCCAGAAATGCTGTCTTAGGCATAAAGGTTTTGAAATTCTATGAGATCCAGATTGGTTGGTGTGTTTTGCTATAGATTAATTGGAATGTCACTGTTTTGGGTGACTGAGATCCTCTGGGGGTTGGAACAGACTTTGCTCAGAAACCACTGGTGAATTCTGAAAAGGCGAATAGACTTACTTGATGCGACTTTGGTAATGTGAGATTGATTGTTCTGAGAGTTTGAGAACATTGACCAGAGGAAGGGGGCAGCCTTACCGGTCACCCTGAGGAAGAGAACTCCAGAGGTCCCTTTCCCTGGGAGATGCTGGCTCTGTGGGGAGGCCCTGAGGAAAGAGCTTGCAGCCTGTTGGACTGTAGAATCACATCACCCACTCAAAGACGAGATGGCAGTGGGACTCTGGGACTCACGCACCACAGGGAAGAAGCTGTGTTAGACAGTACTTCAAGTACCTAACAAGTGGTCACTTGGAAAGAGACTGCTTGATGGTCTTGGAATAACTCAGAAGGTTGAGCCAGTGAGTATGAGCTTTTCAGGCAGCCAGTCTGTCTGGGTTTTTGGAAGGGGTATGCTCAGGTGGCAAGAGGACACAAGGCAGGTATAACCCCTGGACCCACTGGGGTCAAGGTCTTGGCTTCCTCTAACTCCATTTTCTTCTTCTTTAAGGATGTGTGTGTGTGTGTGTGTGTGTGTGTGTGTGTGTGTGTGTGTGTGTTTTGAAATGGTTTCTCTGTGTGACAGTTCTGTTTTGTTGTTGTTGTTGTTTTGGTTTTTCGAGACAGGGTTTTTCTGTATTGTTTTGGAGGCTGTCCTGGAACTAGCTCTGTACACCAGGCTGGCTTCGAACTCACAGAGATCCACCTGCCTCTGCCTCCCGAGTGCTGGGATTAAAGGCATGCGCCACCAAGGCCCGGCTGTGTGACAGTTCTGGCTGTGGTCCTGGAACTCACTCTGTAGACCAGGCTAACCTCAAAGTCACTGAGAGTTCTTTCTGCCTCCCAAGTGCTGGGATTAAAGGCATGTGCCACCACTGCCCAGGTTGAGATTTTTTTTAGATGACTTTTTATTTTATGTGCATTGGTGTTTTGCCTGCATGTATGTCTGTGTGAGGGTGTTGTCAGGTTTTGAGCTGCCATGTAGGTGTTGGTAATTGAACCCAGGTCCTCTAGAAGAGCAGCCAACGCTCTTAACCACTGAGCCATCTCACCAAACCATAATTCCTTTTTCTTATTGGGAATTAGCAGCTCTCTGGAGAGCCCCATTTCCTGCCCCCTCCTTAAACTAAAAATTGTGTATACTTGAGTGTCTGTGTGTTTATGCATTTGAATGTGTAGGTGCCTTCAGAAGCCAGGAGGAGGAGTCAGATCCCCTGAAGTTGGAGGTACAGGTTGGGTTATATGAGTCGGGTCCTCCGCTGAGCCCTCTCTCCTTTTTTATAAGATACATAACAAGGTGTCTTCATTTTAGTGTGTGGCTCAGTGGCATTCATCTGAGTTACTGTGTAGCCATCACCATTGGCCATCTCCAGAACCTTTTATCATCTCAGAACTGGGTCTCTGTTCCCCATAAACGCTGTCCCTCCACCCACTGATTCACTGAGTCTGTGAACCATATGGTAATGGTATGGCTTAGTCCCCTGGTGTGAGATCCCCAAGATCATCCATGCTGTAACACCTGTCTTAGTCCCTTCTGGTTTGGTTTTTGTTTTTTTTTTTTTTTTTAATTTTCGAGGCAGGGTTTTTCTGTAGCTTTGGAGCCTATCCTGGAACTAACTCTTGTAGACCAGGCTGGTCTGTAACTCACAGAGATCCACCTGCTTCTGCCTCCTGAGTGCTGGAATTAAAGGCGTGCACCACCACCTCCCGGTTCCCCCTTCTGTTTTAAGGTTGAGTAATGACCTACTGTGTATTCATTGGCCACCCTGGGATTTTATCCCTAACCCATTTATTGGAGTTTCTTTCTGTTTTCCCCACCCTTAAAAGTAATCATAGATTTTCTTCAGAATGTCCTTAGTAGTCATTTTAATTCTAACTCATGAGATCCTTTCTTCTCACCCAGGTGTCTTCTCCTGTTCTCATATTGGTGTTAATTTTTAGAGTTTGGTTTTCACTGTGTGTCCTTGACTGGCCTCAAACTCTCAGAGATCCACCTGGCTGTGTTTCCTGGGACAGGGAGTAAAAGGGTATGCACTACTACACCTGGCAAAGATGGTTTCCTTTTCTTTCTTTTTTTCTTTTAAACTTAAAAAGTTATTTTATGTGTGTGCACCACATGGTGATTTCAGAAGCCAAAAGAAGGCTGCTGTGTGGGTGCTGGGAATGGAAACCAGGTTCTTGATAAGCAACCAGTGCTCTTAACCCCAAGTCATCTTTTCAGCGCCTTTATTTTTGTTTTTATATGGTCAAGTATATCTGTGCGGGTACACACATTAAGTGCAGGTGCTGGGCAGTGTGTGAGCGGGGTGTGGTGGCACACACTTTTAAACCCAGTTCTAGGACAGCCAGGGCTACACAGAGAAACCCTGTGAGAGAGAGAGAGAGAGAGAGAGAGAGAGAGAGAGAGAGAGAGAGAGAGAGAGAGAGAGAGAGAGAGAGAGAGAGAGAGAGAGAGAGAGAGAGAGAGAGAGAGAGAGAGAGAGAGAGAGAGAGAGAGAGAGAGAGAGAGAGAGAGAGAGAGAGAGAGAGAGAGAGAGAGAGAGAGAGAGAGAGAGAGAGAGAGAGAGAGAGAGAGAGAGAGAGAGAGAGAGAGAGAGAGAGAGAGAGAGAGAACAGTGTGTACTCTTAACCACTGAGCCATCTCTAGCCCCATATGTGTTCACACTGTTACGAGCTGACTTGATTAGCTAGTTAGTGCCTTGCATTTCCACTGGGGTTGTGGATTTTAGAGGTTCTCCCATAGTTGTTATCCAAAGCCCATATTCTATTGTGTTTATTGGGTTTTCTTAGTCTTCACCCTGTTACAAGTCCCCAGTTTCTCATAAAGCCTTTATGAGCGGATGAGATGGCTCAGCGGGTACAGGATCTTGCTACTAAACCTGACACCACCCGGAGTCCATCCATAGAACCCACTCATACAAGCTGCCCTCTGACCTCAAACACGTATCCCCCCCCACATACATTAATATAGAAAGCAAAAAGTATGTATAAACAGGTCTCTTACAGAGGACACAGTTTGATTCCCAGCTCCTGTTCCAGGGGATCCAACACCCTCTGGCCTCCATGACACTGTTGGACAGGCATGCATACAGACAAAACACCCCCACACATACATCAAACACACATTGTAAAACAAATCCCCAGTTTGTTCTTGGCTGTGACCGTTTCATGCTTAGAGATTTTTAAATGGTCTCATTTGATACTTTCCTTGGTAATTTTCTCAAGACCAAGCTGGGTAGTGCCTTGGGGAAGAGACTGCATTAGGGGAATCATTGACCTCATCCATCAACTACCACCAGCAGGCGGTGCTGTGACTGTGGGACTTGTTCTGCCCAGACTCACGGGTGGCTGGATCCTATGGCTGTGCACCTCAAGCACACAGATGGAGTCCCCAAATAATGTTCTTCAAACTTCCAGCCTTCTGTTTGGAGTCTCACTGTCTGTTGTTGGCCTCTCTTAGAGACTACCGTCCCATTCCTGAGCTTGATGTCTACGAGGCAGAGGGATTGGCCCTGGATGATGAAGACGTGGAGGAGCTGACGGCCAGTCAGAGGGAGGCAGCAGAGCGGGCCATGAGGCAGAGGGACCGAGAGGCTGGCAGAGGCCTGGGCCGCATGCGCCGGGGGCTGCTGTATGGTATGTCTGGTGGGCATCCCAAAGGGGCCACTTGGACCTCTAGAACCTCAGGAAGTGGGGGTGGCATGGGTAGCAAGTGTTGTGGAGAGGATACTGGGAGAAGCTTGCTTACATGAGGGTCTTGCTACCCAAGACAGTGACGAGGAAGATGAGGAGCGGCCTGCCCGTAAACGCCGCCAGGTAGAGCGCGCCACAGAGGATGGTGAGGAGGATGAAGAGATGATCGAGAGCATTGAGAACCTGGAGGATCTAAAGGGACACTCAGTTCGTGAGTGGGTGAGCATGGCAGGACCCAGGCTGGAGATCCATCACCGCTTCAAGAACTTCCTGCGCACCCATGTGGACAGCCACGGCCACAATGTCTTCAAGGAGCGCATCAGTGATATGTGCAAAGGTGTGTTCCAGATAGGCTGGGGTGGAACACAGGGTTACAGCTCTGGTCTTGACTGAGGTGCGCCTCAGTCTCAGCACTGAGGGGTGATGTGGCCTGTCGCCTGTATCCTGCCATCAAGGCTGCTCCTGCTGGCTTTGTTGTAGCACACTAAGCACATTATGCACAGGAACGTTTAGTGACAAGGACAGAACCAGAGGCATCCTGTCAGAGGAACCCAGGGTTTCCTATGTCTGCACCAGAGCTGGGCTGTTTGGGGACATGCTTAAAAATGTACTAGAACCCTGTGGGGTTTTTCTTGTTTGTTTTGTTTTGTTTTTGCAATGTCAGATTGAACCCAGGGCCTAGCATATTCTAAGCATGTGCTCTGCCACTGAGCTACTCCCCAACCTCTGCATTACAACTTTGGTGCAAAAGTGGTCACATTTCTGTGTGACAACATTTGCTTTAAAGGGTATGACAGCGTGGAGCTATGGTAGCCCCTCCAGAAATGGCTATAGTTCTTCTATAGGTTTTTTCCATGACCTGCCTATTCCTCCTGGGTATGACATCCCAGAGATACGCATGTTGTTAATATATCACTTGGCTCTCTTTTGCCCAGCCACAGGTATTGGGCCTAGGGTGCAAGCTGGACTTTCTGGCCTACTCAGGTTTGGTTTGGGTGGAGAGCTTTGGCCATCAAGGTTCTAAGACGTTAGCTACCTTCATGGCCCTAGGCTATGTCATCATTCGAACCCACCATCTCCCTTAGAGAACCGTGAGAGCTTGGTGGTGAACTATGAAGACCTGGCGGCCCGGGAACATGTGTTGGCATACTTCCTGCCTGAGGCCCCAGCTGAGCTGCTGCAGATCTTTGATGAGGCCGCCCTGGAGGTGGTGCTAGCCATGTACCCTAAATACGACCGCATCACCAACCACATTCATGTGCGCATTTCCCACCTGCCTCTGGTGGAGGAATTGCGTTCACTGAGGTGAGCAGGGGTGTTGGAGAGTTGTTCGTACAGCCAATCCACTGTGCCAGTAAAGCAACCTTGAATCAAAGGACAGAGTCGGCAATTGGCTGACACGGATTAGCCATAAAGTTCTTGGAGGATTTAGGAAGACAGCTAGGGAAAACAGGAAGAAAGGAAGAAAGAATTCCATGGAGTTTCCGGGGCTGGTGGTTTGGGGAAAACGGAGAGAAGGTTAGCCAGTTCTGCTTTCTTTGGGTTTTCCAGGTCTTTAATCTCAGTATCTGACTCCCAGGTTTTTATTACATTGGAACAAATAGGTAATCTGGCAGCCTCATCTGGCACCCCACGTTGGGCGCCATGTGTAGCAGTACTTTCTCATTGGGACTGCCAGCTCAAAAATGACAAGGAGAGTTTTATTAATTATGAAAGCTCGACCTTAGCTTGGGCTTATTTCTAACTAGCTCTTATACCTTAAATTAACCCATTTCTATTCATCTACATGCTGTCACTTAGCTCAGGGATTTTACCTCTCCTCATGCATGCCCTGCTTTCTCTCCATCTTCTCTGGGGTCTCTCCCCTGCCTAGATTCATCTCATCTTCTTGTCTGCCCAGAAGACCCACCTAACCTCTTCCCGCTTAGCTGTTGGCATTTGGGTCTTTATTAAATCAATCAGAAGATGCCTTGGCAAAGACACATCTTCACAGTGTACAAAAAAGATTACTCCACAACACGGGGAGAGAGCGGGGCCTACTTCCGAGAGTGGGGTAGGAAGTACCCCACAGCCTCTGATGTGCTTGCTACCTCCCACACCTAGGCAGCTGCATCTGAACCAGCTGATCCGTACCAGCGGCGTGGTGACTAGCTGCACTGGAGTCCTGCCCCAGCTCAGTATGGTCAAGTATAACTGTAGCAAGTGCAACTTTGTACTGGGGCCTTTCTGCCAGTCTCAAAATCAGGAAGTGAAGCCTGGCTCCTGCCCTGAGTGCCAGTCTGCTGGGCCCTTTGAGATCAACATGGAAGAGGTGAGCAACCCAAACCTGTCACATTACCTTTGATGTGCAAGACCTAACCCATCTCTGGGACCAAGAGACCTAAAGGCAGTTAAACATGCCAGAATTAGCTAGATTGGCCTCAAGACTTTAAGAATTCAATATGTTTGAAGCTAGGTGATCCTGTTTGGTGTATTTGTGGTCTCTAAAGAAAGGGGTAGACAGGGCCTACTTTTCTTCCTGTCCACCCCAATAGAGCATCTACTTGCCCATCACATGTTGATTTGTTGGTAGAGCCTGGCTGGCACCTGGTGCCCTTTGAGGGGGTCTCCAGGGTTATAACCACCTTGGATCCTGCAGATCCCTGTTTGGGAGACTCACACACCTCTGCTCTGAAGTCTTGGGTACATCTGCCTTCATCTGAAGCTGGAGATCATGGTTCTTGTGAGGATGCCTGCTGCCCCTTAGTGCCTGGCTCCTAGAACGTTAGCACTTGTCGTGCTTTCCATAGTTCTGAGCTGTCTTTAGGGCCACCTGGACAGGAAGCTGCCTGTGACAATGTCAAGTCCAGGTCTGCTTCACTTGAATGACCCAGCTCCAAGGCTTACTTAGCTGTGCCTCTCCGTCTTTTGCAGCCCCACTTAGCCATGTTACAAACTTGGACACTAAGCTTTTCTAGTTGGGATTAGCCCTTATTTGGGTCTTAGTTTTTATTACATCCTGGGGGGGGCGTGGTTCCACAGTTCTCATCTTGTGGAACAACAGATGTTCAGAGATTTGGATGGCTAAGGTCACCCACTCAGAAGTGTGCTAAGGATCAGGCAAACATAGATGTGATTGTGTGCTTTTGCTTTTGTTTTGCTTTTGTTTTTTGGGATGGGGCTTATTGTTTAGTCCTGGCTGGCCTCCAATTCACAGACATCCACCCGTCTTCGCCCCCTGAGTTCTGGGCTTAAAGTTATGGTGACGTCACCATCACCTGACATTGTGTACTTTAAGCCCCTGTGTCTTACATATCAGTTAGCTCTGGGTTCCTGTAACCAAACACCTGACGTAAATGACTGGAAGGATTAGAGTCATGCTTGACCCCGTGACTTTGGGGCCTGTGTGTGACAGTGATGACGTGTGGTACAGCAAACTGCTTACCTCCCATAGTCCCCTTCAAGGCCATGCCCCTAGGACCTAAGGCCTCCCACAAGGCTCCTCATCTCTCACACATGGACTGAAGCATCAGTGCCTTCTACAGATAGGCCATCGGGAACATTTGCAGACTGTAGCATGTTGTCTGTTTTCTGGACTGTAAGTGAACTAGTGGGATATTACAGCACATGGTACACCTCCACCGTGTGGTCCTGCTCTGCTATTGGGGTGCTGCTGTAGGTGCTCATACAAATGAGCCAGCTTGATCCTCGTAAGGTCATGCTTCAAGCTCAGTATTCTGCCAAGAATTGCACCGCTTATGACTGCGCTAGTGTGTGGACACAGGCAAATCTAGGTTCCAGGGAGTAGAACAGAGGCTAGAGCCCAGAAGAGAAAGACACTGCCCAGGGATGGCACTGGGTGACAGTTGTCCCGTCCTTGGCCTCTGTGGCTCTCGTGTCCTGTTTATCCTTTGGGGACTGCAGCCAGGTGGGAGCACGTGGGAAGGCTGTGATTTGCGGAGAATAGTTGGCCATGTGGGGACCATGATATTTTCTGTTCCGAACAGACCATCTATCAGAACTACCAGCGTATCCGCATCCAAGAGAGTCCCGGCAAGGTGGCGGCTGGCCGGCTGCCCCGCTCCAAGGATGCTATTCTCCTTGCTGATCTGGTGGACAGCTGCAAGCCAGGAGACGAGATAGTGAGTGGATGTTGTCAGGAACTGGTGGGGTCTGCTGTGGCCAGTGGGGGTGGGATTAGTGTTCAAAGTGGGGCTCAGCCTGGCACTAGCTCTTGAGTCAGGAGAAGAACTTTTCTCCAGCTCTGTCAGAGTGGTGGTTGTCACTCAGCTTTGCTGTAACAGTATCATAGAGGTACAACATGTCAGCTTGGAGAAGGAGACATTTAGTTTTAGTCCATGGTCTTGGGCCTGTGGTTGTGGCTGCACAGTGCAAAATTCTAAGTGGTGAGGGAATGTGGTTGCTCACCTCCATGGGCCCAGGATGAGAGAGTTGGGAGCAAGGAGTTGTGTCAGGGTCTAGGGTAAGGGCACACCTTAAATGACCTCACTAACACTTTGCAGTTGTGCCAAGTTAGGATGAAGTCTTTAATGCATACTCGCCCACCCCATGGAAAACACAGCAGGACAAAGCTCCTGTTTCTATACTTCCTGGGTTGCTCATCTCGTTTGCAGCATACGGAGCTTGGAGTGGGGGAAGTAGCATGAGTGTAGACCCTACTGTGGGGATACCAGGTTGCACCCTCTGACATGTGACCTTCCCCTCCCAGGAGCTGACTGGCATTTACCACAATAACTATGACGGCTCACTTAACACTGCCAATGGCTTTCCAGTCTTTGCCACTGTCATCTTGGCCAACCATGTTGCCAAGAAGGACAACAAAGTAGCCATCAGTGAGCTAACCGATGAGGATGTGAAGATGATCACCAGCCTTTCCAAGGACCAGCAGATTGGAGAGAAGGCAGGTGGCTGGGCAGGGGTACACCAGGAATCTCTGGGAGCCAGGCACTTTATCCCCAAGGCTGGGTCTCTGAATATTGGCATTAGGGTGGGGGCGGGAAGAGCCTGCACCCTGCTCTGTCTCTGGAGGCTGGAAGTTCAAGATTGAGGGTCCACTTGTGGTAAGGGCCTTCATGACAGAAGAGCAGAGGCTTAGCTCCTTTTGACTGGAGCCCACTGTATGTGGCACTGAGCCCTGCTGGCCTAATTACTTCTTCAAGGATCCCCTGATAGGGTTGTGCTAGAATCTTCGTTTCCAATACATTCACAGCACTGTCCTCTGCCTGCTGCCTTAGCTGTCAGTCATGGCCAGCCTTGCTGCTTTGAGCCTCTCAGACAGGTTTTATTTATGGCTATATCAGTGCTCTAAAGGAAAGAGTCTGTCCTGGTTTGCTGTCTATAGCAAGACTATGACCAAAAGCAGCTTGGGGACGAAAGGGTTTATTTGGCTTTTCACTCACCGATTATAGTCCATCACCAAGAGAAGCCAAGGCAGGGACTTAAGTTTCGTGCCTGCCTGCTGGGTTCCAGTCTCATGGGTCTCCCTCTGTTCCTCAGATCTTTGCCAGCATTGCACCCTCCATCTATGGGCATGAAGACATCAAGAGAGGCCTGGCTTTGGCTCTGTTTGGAGGAGAGCCCAAGAACCCAGGTGAGCCCCTCTTACCAGCTCTCCCTGCAGGGATTACAGGGCTCTGTTTTGTTTTTAAACATCAGAGTTAGCAAGAGTACTGCATGGGCCTCTGATTAAGTCCACAGGAGAGGATTCAGTGAGCTTGGACTCTGCTCACTGTGGTCTACTATAATGGGCTATGTCTCTGCTGGTTAGCTGTGGTCTAGTCCCAGGCTGTGATTTCACCACCATCTCAGGTGTGCAGGGCGCACTCAGGGTTTTGTGACGCATGTGCTATTTTGGCTGTGTCCCAAAGCTCCATGGTTCAATCCTCTGGACTCATCTTACTAGGGCTTGGGGCTGGGTACCCCCTGCAGAGACCCGCCTTTGATTTGCTGAGGAGCAGGTAGGGGATCCAGCCTTGTCCTCTGACCCTCCTTCTTGCCTACCCACATACCTTCTATCTCCATCCCTGCCTTCCTCCTCCAGGTGGAAAGCACAAGGTTCGAGGTGACATTAACGTGCTCCTGTGTGGGGACCCTGGCACAGCAAAGTCTCAGTTCCTCAAATACATCGAGAAAGTGTCTAGCCGTGCCATCTTCACCACTGGCCAGGGTGCGTCAGCTGTGGGTCTCACTGCATATGTCCAGCGGCACCCCGTCAGCAGAGAGTGGACCTTAGAGGCCGGAGCCCTGGTTCTGGCCGACCGGGGCGTGTGTCTCATTGATGAGTTTGACAAGGTAGGTCTCTGGGATGATGGGCTCTGGGGCTGAGCTCTCGGTGGTGGGAGGGCTTTATTAGAGAGTGATGAGGCCTCCTGTGACGCTCTGTTGAGTAGATGAATGACCAGGACAGGACCAGCATCCACGAGGCCATGGAACAGCAAAGCATTTCCATCTCCAAGGCTGGCATCGTCACCTCGCTGCAAGCCCGCTGCACCGTCATCGCTGCTGCCAACCCCATAGGTATGTCTGCTCTAGAATGCAGAGTGTGGACCTGAAGATGTCAGTAGACACAGCTCCATTCCCTAAGTCCTACCAGATGGGGACCCAGGAGAAGGACTTGGGACCCCGGGGTGATGGTGCAGCAGTTCTTGTACCATCCTTGGATGCCGTCAGATACTTTGTTCAGATGGGGCTGGGGCTGGACTGGGACTTTGCATTGGACCAGCTCTGGTTCTGATGGAATCGGACAGTGCCTGTGATCCCTTCCTCTTGGGCCCACCTCTGCCTGGGAGGCATTCTGGTCCCGGAAAAGCATCCACAGCTCGGGGTCGGGGGGAGTGGGGGATGGATGAATGTGCTGACAGAGCTCGCCTCCTTGTGTTTCAGGGGGCCGCTATGACCCTTCACTGACCTTCTCAGAGAATGTTGACCTCACAGAGCCCATCATTTCCCGCTTTGACGTCCTATGTGTGGTGAGGGACACTGTGGACCCAGTTCAGGTACACCCCTACATCCCTGGTGCCGCCTGTGGGTTCTGGGCCATTGCCTGTGCTGTGTACTGGACACCGGGTTGGCAGTGTATGGACACTGCCTCATATCCAAGTGTCATCCTGACGTCTTACGGCTTCCCCAGGCCTTCCCTGGCTGTCTACCCAGTCTAATCACAGACCATACCCTGTCCTATAATCCCTTCCTCTGGCTCTGCCCTCTGACCCCAGGGACTGCTGTTGCCTATTTGCCTGCCAATTAAAAGAGTAGATTGCATGGCACCTGTCTTCCCCACAGAATCTTCTTTGTGGCCACCATATGTCCCGCATCCTCCCTGCACCTGCTGGGAGGGGGATAGCTGTCCAGCTGTGCCCTCGCCAGCTCTGCAGCTGCTGTCTTCATGCTTAATGAACCCATGTGTCTGCTCTCCCTCTAAAAGGCAGCCCTGGGCTTTAAATGTGCTCTTCCCCCTAGGGTGCCTCCCTCACCACCATCACCAAGTGCTCCTTAGTTTGTCCTGTGGTGAGAGGCCTCTTGTTGACTGGATTCTCCTTGGTTCCATTACTCTTATCTTGTTCTTTCCTTAGCTTGTTACTTTCTGTTATTTTTTGTATTGTTTTTGATGGTTTGGTTTTTGAGACAGGGTCTCAACTCCTAAAGAGCATTCAAGAAATCCTCCTGTCTCGGCTCCTGAGTAGCTGGGATTGTCTTCAGTGCACAGCTGTCTCCTGGCCCCTAAGCCTATGGCTGCCCGCCATGCTCATAAGCTTGCCTAGCCTCAAACGTGTGTGGCAGGCACTCTCTCTCTTTGCTGTGTGTAGCTTTCCCTGTCTTCCTAATCCCACCTTACATCGCACCCCATCTCCTGTCTTAGGATGAGATGCTGGCCCGCTTTGTGGTTGGCAGCCATGTCAGACACCACCCCAGCAACAAGAAGGACGAGGGGCTGACCAACGGCAGCGTCTTGGAGCCAGCAATGCCCAACACATATGGCGTGGAACCCCTGCCTCAGGAGGTCCTGAAGAAGTACATCATCTATGCCAAGGAGAGAGTCCACCCAAAGCTTAACCAGATGGACCAAGACAAAGTGGCCAGGATGTACAGTGACCTAAGGAAGGAATCTATGGTGAGCTGGGGGGCACAGTGCTGCCTTTCTGACCCAGACATGGGGCAGGATCAGAGCAGGCAGTGTTAAGAACCTCTGAGGCCTGGCATTGCTCTATGGTGATTGCCTACCTTATATGGATAGGATCCTTGTTCCATCCCCAGCACTGGAAAAAAATATGGCTTTCCATATTTCAATCATTGGGTTACAGTTGGACCTTAACTGTGTGCAAGAGGGCCATAGTCTTTGATTGCTTAAGTCCTGTATTAACATAAACCTTACCCAAATCAACATGAGAGCTGTGCTGGTTTGGGCTCTCTGTTTTCGTATGGAACTGCAAGGCCACCGACTGTCTTACCACATGTAACCAAGATACCAGCTGGGATTTTTTGCTTGGGACTGTTTTTTTCTTTCCGTTTTGATGTTATCGCGATCTTCAGAGCATTCAGCTTGGTTCCTACAGAAACGATGGCTTCTCTCATCGTTGTTCTAGATCACATAATGTTCAGTGTAAACCGGGATAACAGAGCAGAAGGATACGAACTAGATAAGGGCAGAATTGCCAGTGGCGCTAGTGATGACCAGAGGCCTGTTTTTGCTTCTGGCTGCCTGGCGTTTAGTCCATTCTGCCTCTCCTCCTGAGAAAGGCCCACTCTGTTCTCTGCAGGCAACGGGCAGTATTCCCATCACGGTGCGCCACATTGAGTCCATGATCCGCATGGCAGAGGCCCACGCACGCATGCACCTGCGGGACTATGTGATGGAAGATGATGTCAACATGGCCATCCGCGTGATGCTGGAGAGTTTCATTGACACACAGAAGTTCAGTGTCATGCGTAGCATGCGCAAGGTGGGTGTGGCTGAGGCCGGGATGGAGAGGCTGTCTCCTGGAGCCTTGGTTAGCTGTGGCCTGGGGATAGCAGGAGCTCCTGCCCTGGTGGCTCAAGCTGTGAAGGTGGCCTGACATGACCTCTGCCCTCTTCCCGCAGACCTTTGCCCGGTACCTCTCCTTCCGGAGAGATAACAATGAGCTTCTGCTCTTCATACTGAAGCAGCTGGTGGCTGAGCAGGTGACATATCAGCGCAACCGCTTTGGGGCCCAGCAGGACACCATTGAAATTCCTGAGAAGGACTTGGTAGACAAGGTGTGTAAGAACTGGGCATGGCCAGGGCTTGCTGCTCTGCGGAGTCTGCAGCCATCTTGAGTGTGCCGGCAGGTAACGGCAGAGGAGCTAGACGGGGGTACCGGGGAGCAGCGACCTTGTCCAGGACCTGAGAAGCTGATGAAACTCAGGGTTGGAGCTCTGAACCAGCGTAGCCCTTCCAGAGGTGAGGGGTGGCATCCTCCCCTGCTAATGGCTCTGATGCTCTTTCTCCAGGCCAGGCAAATCAATATCCACAACCTCTCCGCCTTCTACGACAGTGAGCTCTTCAGAATCAACAAGTTCAGCCGTGACCTGAAACGCAAGATGATCCTGCAGCAGTTCTGAGGCCAGCACCAGACCTCTGTGTCTGCACAGACACAAAGCCCACTTCCACCATCGGCTCAGCGCTCGGTTGGGGTGATAGCTAGATGCACATCTTCACCATGATCCCCTGGGCCCAGGCTGTGGTGTGAAATGACTGTATTTATTCTGCTCACCTCTAGAGAGCTCTTCTTGGTAGGACCCTCTGCCCAAGGCTCAGCAGCCTCCCAGAGTGCCTAGTAGCTGGTGTTCAGTGGCTGGGGTGTGTTCAGGTGACAGACTTTACCATGAGTTTTGTTTCTGGACTGTTTCTTCCCATTTTAGCCAAAGAGCAACTTAGAGGTATTTGTAAACTTTTCTAGAGCATTCTGAGAGCCTGTGTTCCTGTTTCTTCCCACCTAACTGTGCCTTTATTCACTTTTTGTACAGTATTTTGTCTCTGTAGTTTATTTTTTAGTAAAGTTGAATACAATCTAAATACTGCTATTAATTTCGATTGTGGTTTTAATGTGACTTTCCAGGGCTTCTTTGAAGCCTTTTCTGCTTGCCCTCAGTTTCAATAAGACATAGGTCTGGTTACATCTGCTTTGTAGATGTGCCCTGTACTTTGGGTTTAAATATCTCCCTTAATAGTTATTGCTAATGTAAGTTCATGTTTTTTAATTCAAGGTCTCACCATGTAACCCTGCCTGGCCTGTAATGGAACTTGAGATCTTCCTGCCTCTGCGTCCCAGGATTAAAGGTGTGCACCACCAGTCTGGCTCATGTTCTCCAGTTTGGAGCCTTGTGGGAGGAAGTGAGATTATTGGACCCCAACATGCCTTTCTTTGTTTCCAGACCACTATGAGGTCAGAGAGTCTCTGCCACTATGAAGTTCTTTCTCAGTACACTTAGAGCCAACAGCCATGGGCATGTCTTTAGAATGACCCCAAACCTTATGTCCTTATGAGCTGATTATCTTTGGTACTTGGTCACAGAAACAGAAAGTTGACCAATACAAGACACAGCTGTTACAGCACACAGACTGACATCTTTATAGTAATGAGCTCTTGTGTTCAGATAAGGTACATGTTTATCCATTGTTCCTGGTTCATAGGAAGCTGCAGAGCCTTCTCCATTTAGATTCTATGCATCTGGTTTGCTTCTTTCTGGCTTTTAATTGTGCTGTTAAGACTGGGTGGCTTCTCTTTTTACGTAGAAGAAGAGTCAGAGCCCCATTCATATCCTGCGAGGGCTGCACTGAGCCACACACATGCCTCCTGCATGGTACTTTCCAGTGGTTACCATGACAGGGCAGACTGTCTCCTGTCCAACCTTGAACTCAGCAGATTCATGAGTTTTGCAAAGTATTTTTTTCCATTAATTCCACCTGCTTTCTTTATCCAGTTAGCTCTCACAGGGTGTTCAGCATTTTGGGTTTTGGCAATGCCCTTTTCTGTTCCTCACTTGGTCTGTCAGGGCACACTTGTAACACACCCTGAAGTCTGGTTATTGACTGCAGGTTTCTGGGAGATCCTCTTTTGGGTCATGGCAGTTTCCTTTTCATTTATATCCTTGCAGGAGTTTTGTTCTTTTTTTTTATAGAGATGTCGAGTTTATATTGAGATTAAGAGTTGTGTCTGTTTCTCATACTCTACCAGCCATGTCCCTGAACAGCCCTGCCATTCTGTGACAGTAATGCTTAGGATGAATGGCTGCAGGTGACATCCTGTGGTTTTAAGTGAGGCTGTGACTGCTGGGTGAGACAGGCCAGGCCTTGGGCGGTGCATTTCCCTTTGCTGCTTTGGTGTTAGGGTTTTCTAGTACAGAGTGAACTGCGACTCTCGTGGGCTTTGCTCTGGAGACACTGTTTTGTGGGTATTTGGCTTCCAAATGGACTTTAATACTTTATGAGGGGTAGATTTCTCATCTCCTTTGTTTCCCCATTTGGTCCCTTTAGCTTTTCTACTACTGGGATGAATTTTGCTAAATATAAATTGTACTTAAAACATTCATTTAGGGGCTGGGGAGAGTGCTTAGTTTTTTTGTTTGTTTTGTTTTGTTTTTTTCCAAGACAGGGTTTCTCTGTGGCTTTGGAGGCTGTCCTGGCACTAGCTCTTGTAGACTTGGCTGGTCTCGAACTCACAGAGATCTGCCTGCCTCTGCCTCCCGAGTGCTGGGATTAAAGGCGTGTGCCACCACACCCCCACCCCTGGCCTAGTGCTCAGTTTTTAAGACACTGAGGACATGAGTTATTCTCAGAACCTACATAGAACGCCAGGTGCAGTGGTGTGCTTGTGGCAGGACTGGAGAGGCAGTGACAGGCAGTTCTCTGAGGCTCAGTGGCCAGCCAGATTACTCTCCTTGGGCAGTTCCAGACCAGTGAAAGATCCCATCCCAAAAAGAAAAACAACGGGGCTGGGGAGATGGCTCAGTGGTTAAGAACACTGACTGTTCTTCCAGAGGTCCCGAGTTCAATTCCCGGCCACCACATGGTGGCTCACAACCACCTTGAATGAGATCTGGTACCCTCTGCTGGTATGCAGGCAGAAGGCTGTATACACAATAAATAAATAAAATATTAAAAATAAAGAAAAGAAACAACGGAAGGTGCCTGAGGGGGGACACTCCAGGTTGTCTCTGGCCTATACACAAGAACACATAAGCACTCATGTAGACTTTCACTATTTGTGCACGTGTGTGTGCATGAGTATGTGCTGCAGGTGTGCATGAGTGCAGGTACAGATCAGAAAACAACAGTCAGGAGTTGGTCCTCCTACCATTGGTTCCAGGAATCAAACTTGATGGGTTGTCAAGCTTGGTGGCAAGTAACCTGCCAAGCCACCTCACCAGCATCATTTGCACTTAGTTTATCAATAAGTCATGCTTTTATTTTAAAATCAAAGTTGTACTTTTTACTGTTTTCTAATGTCTCTGATACTATAGGTATTCTGATTTATTTACATCCCGTCTCATACACTCACATACTCATTTATTTTAAAGCAGGGTCTAACTGTAGCCCTGCCTAGCCTGGAAAGAGATCCTCCTGCCTCTGCTTCCCAAGTTCTGGAATCACAGGCATACGCCACGATGCTATATTTATTTTTGAGACACGCTCTTATTCTGTAGCTCAGCCCTGACCTGGAACAGCCTCAACCCCCTGAGTACTCAGATTACAAGCATGAGCTGCTGTTCCTGGCTTTCCTTTGTATTTTTTAAGTAGCTTCTTAGGTTGAACGTTTAGTTCATTTTTTGTTTGTTTGTTTATTTGCGGCTTTTTTGAGACAGGGTTTTGTAGATCAGGCTGGCCTTGAACTCAGAGATCTGCCTGCCTGTGCCAAGTTCTGGGATTAAAGGCAGGTGCCACCATGCCTGCCTTCACTTTTAACCTTTTAAAAAATAAATACATGTGTTTGCAGTTATAGTATACCTGCCAGTATTCAGCTGCATCCCTGGACTTCCACACACAACGTTCTCATAGTATGAATTTTTGAGAAGACTTGAGGTTTTCCTATGATGTGCTGTAACTCAAGAGCTATTTAGAAGCGCATGCATTTGGGTCTGTGGTTTCCTCCATTGATTAAATCTCATTTGCTTCTGTGCGGGCTAGTTTTATGTCAACTTCACACAACCTAAAGTCACTGGAAAGGAGGGAGCATAGATTGAGGAAATGCCTCCATAAGATTGGACTGTGTGTAGGAAGATGGACATAGTGGTACAGTCCTTTAATCTCAGCACTTGAGAAGCAGAGATAGGCAAATCTGATCTGTCTGGTTCAAGGTCAGTCTGGTCTACAGAGTGAGTTCCAGGACAGCTTAATAAGTGATTGATGTGGGAGGGTTCAGCCCATTGTGGGTGGTACCATCCCTGGACAGGTGGTTCTGTAAGAAAGCAGACTGAGCAAACCATGGGAGCAAGCCAGTAAGCAGCACCCACCCATGGCCTCTGCATCAGCTTCTGCTTCCATGATCCTGCTCTGTTTGAGTTCAAGTCCTTCAGTGATGTGGAAGTGTAAGCTGAATAAACCCTTTGTTCTCCAGCTGGCTTTAGTCATGATGCTTCCTCACAGCAACAGAAACCCTCACTGGAACTTCTATACTTTTAAAAAATATTAATTTTGTGTGTGTGTGTGTGTGTGTGTTCCCTTTGCTCTAAGGAGGGGAAGCGGGTATCTCTGCCCAGGGCACCAGGTTGTCTTGGGGCTGGGATAGTGTTTCCAGAGATGGTCGAGCTTAAACTGTGTTTGTAATTAACAAGAATGATCTGGAAGAGATGCAGGTCAACAGTGTTCATAAAAGAATAGCACAGTGAAGTCTGGTAAGGAGCAGGTTGGGGGAGATGCTGACTGGCTGTCTCATCTCTTTCCCAAACTAGATTGTCACTCTAACAGCTCTTCTTCATATTGTTCCCACTGAGCAATGTCCATTAGGTTCAGACAGTTCAAACTGCAAGGCCATTAACTTTCTGGCCATTTCATTTTAGTCCTAGCATCCCATGTATGGTAATTAGAATATATTTAGCCCCATAAGCTCATAGGGAATGATACTATTAGGAAGTGTGGCCTTGTTGGAGGAAGTGTGGTCTTGTGGAAGAGGTTGGATAAAACATACCTTTAATCTAGACCTTGAGACTGGAAGGAAGGCACACCTTTAATCTGGGCCACACCTGTTAGAAGTATGTCACTGGGGGCAGGTTTTGGGATCTTTTTCTCAAGCTTCACTCTTTGACAGTCCACTTCCTGTTGCCTTTGAGTCAAGATGGATGAGTTGCTGTCCATCATGGTGTCTCTTTACAGCAATAGAAACCCTAACTAAGACAACATGCCTGTGTCCTCTGGGTGGCCTGGCTTTGCACAGAAACTATACAAAGTGGTTTTTCTCTAACTGAGTTTGTGTTTAAAGTAAAGCACCAAAAATAATCAGTCAACAAACACTAGGTCCTATTGGTTCCATCTCAGTGTTCCAGTGATTTAACTCACAGATTAGCCTAGTTAGACTTCCATCACCACTCCCCACCCCCCAGATACCAGCAACAGCCTCCTCCATGGTCACTGATGGTTTGCTTATTTTGTCTCGAGTGCCTGCCACTACAATTCAAAGGCCTAATGGGACCATGATTCCTATTTTAGAAATGAGTTTCTAACAGGACAAAGTCTACACTTACCCTGACACCCATAACCCTTCGTTCTGTAGGGCATGACCCACCGTCACTGCCCATCAGATGATGTAGGCTGGGCAGTCAGGTTGGCCTCAGGCTAGGCAAAGGATAAGAGTGTCTGCAGTCCTGTATTCCAATTGTTGCCACTCTCCCTGGGATCCTTAGGTTAGCCACTTCTTGTGTTCAGGGTCCTCATATTGAAGGATAAACTACAGAACTGCTAAATGCCACCCATCTCTGTCTTGTGCACTCCCCCAGTGATGATGCTCATTCCCCTGGATGTGACAGACCATGTCCACTCTGTTCTTTCCCTTGGAACTCATGTCTTGCCCTTACTGCCTC